GGAGTAACCTGTGGTGTTCTGCGTGAACTAGCCCGTGAACCATTGTAACTAAGGCAGAACTGAGTCTGAAATCTAAGCTGTCGGTGTTCAGATCGATCTTCATCCTTATCCTTACCTACGGTCATGAGTCGTGCATCGTGAATGAAAAACTTCGATTCCGGATAAAAGCGGTTTCGTATGACGTTGGGTTCACGCATCTCGATTGTTCCGAGTATAGAGATATATTGAAAAGTCAGTTTGGGACGTCTTGCTAATGTTTTCAGAAAGGAACGTGACAGCTACTGCTTGCCGAAGTAATTGGGCGTATACCCTGAGGACGGTCAAGAATAACCTGAGGAGTGTCAGCACCTTCCGCTTAAGACTCACGTTATCTTTTGTCGAAGCTCAGACATTTGCACAGGATTAAAGGCGTTGAAACTACTTCTGATGCGTTTGCCTCCATGATCCAAAAGCATAAACGATCATCGAAACAGACTAGCTTTGATATAAGCTGTGACTTAAGACTTACTGATGCGATTAAATACCAGTAAAACGACTACATACCAGTAAAACCGTTACGACCCTAAGAAAATTGCTTTCAGTCCATGCCAGTATATGCAAATTAATTTCATATATACATATGTATCAATTGATTGTTTTCCAGCTTCTAGTAGAGCGTTTGTTCGCGGACATTTCTGGTCCAGAAATGGAACTCTGCTTATATCCACAGCGCAGGAGGCGCTCATTCGGGGTTCGTTCTCTTAGTAACCGTTCCGGATGGCATCTCTAGACCCGCCGCTAGCGGAACGGTCAACAACAGAAATGGACGGACGTCGTTGTATTGTCTGTTACCTTAACATATGCACAGTTGTTGAAGTTTCGTAAACGTAGTGTATCGTAAACCGGATGATTGTATAGTCGGATTTTCGAATGATATCTTGCTGTGCTGGTCCTCAAATCACATTAACCCAATATTGCTATTTTTATAAACCAATATGAATTGTGATGCTTTGGACATTTTCTTCAAAGGTTAGGTAACATGCACCACACGTGTTGAAAGCGTTGTTTTATCAGACGTACGTTTGTCAGTTCTTTCATTCGTTATACCAATTAAATGTTCCTCATTTTTTGTTAAGTATTAACGTCGTCAGTACTGAATAAATAGTGAAATTTTCGATACTCGATTCAAAGCAGTTGAAGATCCGGAAGTGGCGAAAAATGAAATGGGTCACGTATAAAACGCATTTTACTTTTCGCATCTTTCTGAAATATAACTATACACAGTCTTCCGGCGACCAGTGGATAAAACGACTGGTAACACAAGTACAACAAGGTAAGAAAGCATTTGAAGTCCACCAGAAGTTCATAACAAATGCTCATAATAAATAAAGATGCAAAAATAAAGCTTCAAGTTGGCATATTTTACAGCCAAAGCACATCGTGTACTGTATTGAGCGAGCGCCGAGTCGTCCACGTCGTACACAGTCACTCGGAGTGCATATTTGGTATCTGATCTGACGTCTTCGTCGCGTCAGTGTCTCTGCTCTCCTCTTCTCTGTCGAAGTGACGTCTTCGCCGAGGTGAAGAACGAGGTCATAGCCCACCGGCTCTGCCGTTCATCTGATCTTCGACCAACTTCAATGTCCTCGTTCTCCTCAACGACTTTCGGTCGAACTGGCGGGCACGTCGGCGCTGCTCTCTCGGCTGTTCCGCCTTGACCGAAGCAGCTTTTATAAGGCCATCAAGAATTTCATCATCAGCTACGTCCGTCGTCGTATTACCGCTGGTCTTAACCTCTAAGAAGCACACTTATAATTATTTGAAATAAAGAACTTACGAAACAAAATTAAAAAGGTTTGCATTGCCGATGGTGGACCTGTCATCGTCAGTCGGCAGAGATAGCAATATCACTGAAGGTAATACTGAAGCCACAACTCGGCTTCTTAAAACAGAGTGAATAGTGAAAAAAATAATCAGCAACGAACAGCTGCATTTTTCCAGTTCTTCAGCGATCGCCAACAACTTGAATACTACTGGTAAAAAGTGGAAATGCACTCAGAAGTTTTTGATATGTTCGCCTTGGGTAGCTTCTCGGACTGAATGCTGAGAAATCTCTTCTGCGACGCAGACTAATTCAGGAGCTGCAGTTACGAGCCGCCTAGTACTACCACCTTATAAGTAATGTTATAGATAACAACTTTCGAAACAAAGTTACTAGCGCCTAAACGGATTAAAACCCCCTAACGTCGAGGATTATACGTGGTCTAACTGCTTAAAGAATAGTTGGATAGAAAACATGGTCACATTTGCTCTGATCAAGGTTATATGGATGAATACTGACGCAACCAGCTGTAGTTGACGTTCAAAACGAGCTCTCGTTCCCCTTCCCAAGAAAATACGGTATGTCGCGGGTACCAAACGACGCATGGTTCGTGGACACAACGGTGTTACTGTCGACAACGCTTTGTTGACGACGACAAGCGAAGCTGCCCCTTAAGAAATACTATATAATCTTACCGGCCGCCCT